TGGATCTGGAGATGTCCATTTTGTCTTTTAGTTGTATTTTTGAAGTTGTTGTGGGAGGCAGCAATTTACAGTGTTTACCTATGCCGCCATCTTGGTTTCTCTCCTAGAATATTTTTCACTATATTCTCTGTGCTGTACTTTACATCTCCATGACTATTCTGTAACAACCAATTTGTTCTTCCCAATCCCTTCACCTTTTTCATCCATCCTCCCTCCTCTTCTCCCATCTGGCAACTGTCAACACGTTCTCTGTATCCATAAGTCCGTTTCTGTTCTTCTTGTTCATTTATTTATTTGTTTGATTAGATTTAGTTGTTGATAGATATGTATTTATTGCCATTTTATTCATTTTTAAAAAATATTTTCTTTTTCTTCTTAAAGAAGACCCTTTAATATTTCATATAATACTGGTTTGGTGGTGATGAACTTCTTTAGCTTTTTCTTGTCTGGAAAGCTCTTTATCTGTCCTTTCATTCTAAATGATAGTTTGGCTGGATAGAGTAATCTTGCTTGTAGGTCCTTGCTTTTCATCACTTTAAATATTTCTTGCCAATCCCTTCTGGCCTGCAAAGTTTCTGTTGAGAAATGAGCTAACAGTCTTAGAGAGCTCCCTTATAGGGAACCAACTGTCTTCCTCTTGCTGCTTTTAACCCTTTGTAGCCATAAGTGTCTACAGACACAAGCGGCGGACCTTCCCCACACGCCACACGCGTCTATAGCTGCAAATCTCACATATCAACTCTGGTCGCCCAATTTTAAAAATCAGACTTGTTTGTGACATCTCTGGCTTTGTAAAGAAAATTATGGTAACTTAAATATGTAAATATTCCAGTACATAGGGAAGAAATTCCAATATCGATATACTAGTATAGGGCTGCCACTCAGACTCACGAGAGATAAACACTGCGACACTTGAGATTTTTTTGGTTCACTGTGACACTTTATTTGCACAATATATTATATTGTGCAAATAAAATTAAGTCCCCATAAATGGCATCAGATGAAGAAATAAGCGAACCAAGGACCTTGCAAGAGGAAGATGACATCCTTTATTCAACTCCAGAATCAGATGATTTTTTAAAATTAAATTCAAAATATCGTGGCGTGTGGGGATGGTTTCTATTTTGGATGAATGGCAGTTAACTGGTTAAGATTCTCTCTTTGTCTTTAACCTTTAGCATTTTAATTATGTATGTCTTGGTGTGGGCCTCTTTGGATTCATCTTGTTAAGGACTCTATGTGTTTCCTGGACGTATACACGCACTTCCTTCACAAAGTTAGGGAAGTTTTCTGTCATTATTTTTTCAAGTAGGTTTTCAATTTCTTGCTCCTTCTCTTCTTCCAGCACCCCCATGATGCGAATGTTGGTATGTTTTCAATGATGAAGGAGAATCCTTGATCAGCTGTCTTCTGCACGCCCCCTACTGGGGATTGAGCCCACAATCCAGGCATCTGCCCAGACTGGGAATTGAACTGTGACCTCCTGGTTCATAGGTCGATGCTCAACCACTGAGCCACACCAACCTGATGAGAAATAATTCTTTATGAAATTTGGCTCTGGTTGGATCAATAGGATGACTCTGTTACTAAAAGGCAGAGAGAACAATGAAGGTGTTGCTGAGTTAGTACAGAGTGACTCATAAATGACATGAATCTATGTCCATCATTACTGAGGGAAACAGGGAAAATGAGATGATTAGAATAAGGAGTTAGGTCAGGAATATTACTTCAAAATGAACTTAGTGTTTTGTATATAATGAAAGACATTGAATTGGCTTACAAGAGAGGAACATTTCAAGATGGCAGAATAGAACAGCAAAGGAGGTTATAAGAAGGAAATTGCAGGGAAAGAGGAGAGAGGTGCCAATCCTTTGTTTAGAGTAATCTGAAAGAGGTTTTTGAGAAGGTGGGGTAAGAAGTAGAAGATCTTAAATTTGCTACTGGGAGGAAGAAAACCCTGTGCCTCCTGATGGCCAGGATCTCATATGTCCCGCTATGGTAGAGAAGAGCTAAAGGGCGCTACCTTCAGATGTTCTGTTCAGCCTGATGCTTCTGCAGATCCTGAGACGATAGGGAAGATTGTTTTCATTTCCATACTCTCCCCACTCTTCCTTCTCTCTCTCCATCTTGCAGCAGGTCCTTGAAGATAAACACAAAAAATAAAAATTCAGATAGGTGAATTTCCCTTAAACTGCCCATATATTTCAGCAAACCTTCAGATTGGCTTAGAACTTGGGTGATTTCCACCCCCTCCCCAACAGGGGCCATTTGCAATGCTTGGAGACATTTTTGATGGTCACTATTGGGGCAAGGAGTGCTATTGATATAAAGGGAGTAGAGCTAGGGATGCTGCTAAACATGCTACAATGCACAGAGTAGCCCCCTAAAACAAATAATTATTCAGTTCCAAATGTCCATAGTACTAAGGATGGGAAACCTGAACTAGTGAGATAAGGCTGGTAGTCTGTATCAGAACCATCCTTGAGCCACCAGACCTTTCTCATCCTACCCATGGGTTGAGTTGTTCATAACAAAGAGTCTCTAGTGTTTTCCCTGACCTTTGACATATTTTGTGTTGAAGGTTGAAACAATCAGTAGATGTTTTTTCCCTCAGTGTATATGATTTCTCCTCCAAGAAAGGTTGATACTCCTTCATGGCAAACTCGGCCTTAACTCTGGCCTAGCAGTTCCTCTTCATTTAATTAGAGATTGAAGGAAGTATAAATGTAAAGCCAAACTTTTAAACTTGTAGGGAAAAATATCCTAGATGTATCTTCTTTCCTCAACCACTCCTGATCTTTCACCCAAAAATATATTCTGTAGAATTGAGAATTGGTAAAATCACTTGTGGCTATGTAGTTTCTTAACTCCATTAGTGCATTTTACCCTTCTCCAAGAAAATGATTCCTGTCCCCCAAATCTTGTCATTTATGATTTTTCTCAAATTCTGAATAAAAAATTAGAATATTACATTACATCAGAAATGTTTTCATCTTAGTTAGCAAGCCTCCGTGTCTCCAAGAAAATATTGTAAAGTTAGGGGGAGGAAATGAAAGGACTAAATTAGAATTTAGTGTCTTGAGGGCCGTGATTTCTTATCTCCGTAACTCCATTGCATAGTAGAGTGCCAGGCACATAGTAGGTGTTCAAGAAATGTCTGTCTAGTGAGTGAATAGAACTTGCTGAGCCATGGAAAGGAGACACTGAAATTTCCATAGACTTTCCCAAAATGAGAATAGCTTAAAATCTCACAGAGATGCTAAATCGTACTAATAGAGCTTGGCAGTGGTTCTCAACCTTTGGCAGTCGAACAACTCTTTCACAGGGGTCGCCTAAGACCATCCTGCATATCAGATATTTACATTATGATTCTTAACAGTAGCAACATTACAGTTATGAAGTAGCAACGAAAATAATTTTATAGTTGGGTCACAACATGAGGAACTGTATTTAAAGGGCCAGAAGGTTGAGAACCACTGGCTTACAGGATGATAATAGGAAAGCACTTACTGTTGCACAGGCAGCAATAACAAAATACTGCAATAACAATGATCACAGAAATCCCAACCACTAGGATTAAGATCTGGAGCCAGGAATGATTAAAAGGAGAGGTTGTTGGCTCAGCTGTGGAGGAAAAAGGATAGTATTAGCTCTAATGTGTTTCCAGTTGCTTGATACCCATTGTATGCCTCTTATTTTGACAGAACTGCAGAGTATTTTTCACTTCTTTGCCTGGTCAGCTCTCCAGTACTCAGCTGATAGCATTTTCTTTGGTACCTCACAAATCAGATATATACTTGTGGGCAGCTGATATCCAGATGTCAGATATTGAACGTGAGAAATAAAAATAAATTTTGAACTTTTGTACTTACTGAGTTAAGCTAGCATAAAAAGGTCTCTAAGGAGACACTTTAAAAGTCGCCCTGTCTTTGTATCTCACTTTTATAGTTGATGTTACTATGTATTACTAATAATAATCAGTTGATTTTGTGTTCTAGATGTACCTTATTTTTCCTTATCCAGCTCTGTCATGCTTGCTCCCTTTCTCTTAGCATGTTCTCTTAACACACACACACACACACACACACACACACCTCTTAGTAACTACCTAAAGCATTCATTCTGCATTCGTTTTCAGATACACATTTTTCACCATACAGCCTAGAGAGTTTCTGGACTGGTAGAAGAGGCTCAGCAAAGAACTAAGAGTGGATGTGGCTTGGTATTAGGTAGGATCATCCTGGCTATCAGATGCAGAACACAGGGAACAGAGGGAACACAGGGACACAAAGAAGGATGTAGGTGGGGCGGGGGGATAGAGAGTATTAGGAGCAGCTGCTACAACATCTATTCTTCAACCCCTTGGGGCAACAACATCTGGAGAAAGGGCAGGAACACAAATTAAAAGGAATATTCATAGCTCATCCTCTTCCGGTTTCTCTGGAATAGCTTACAATAAATATTAAACACTAACTTATTGTTCCTCATATTTCTAATTACCAAGCCTTGTGGATAACTTTCCAAAGTTGAAATGTTTTCCTCCTTGGACTTCCATGACACCACATTCTTCTGTTTCTGCTGGTTGTGACTCAGTTTTTTGCTGTTGATTTGTTGTTTTTAGGCTCTTCTTCCTCTTTTTGTCCTTTAAATTTTGTTGTCCCCATGGTTCCATTTGTGGTCCCATTCTTTTGCCACTGACCCCAGTCCTCCTGGGTGATCTCATCCACACCCAAGGTTTGAAACACTAAATGATTTCTAAATCTGTATATTATATTTCTGATCCCATTTCTGAGCTCCAGATTTGTATTTCCAGCTGTTGACTAGATGGTTGGATGCCAGCACCTCACTTGATTAAAACTGAACTCACTATATTCTTTCCAAAGCACATCTAACACAGATGCTCATATTTCAGTGAATGGCAACACCATTAGTTACCCAAATAAGAGTGAAGGCTTGTGTTTGTGCCCAGTAGGCTCCCGTGGGCTTTCTATTCTATATTCAGAATATCTCTGTAATCGACTCCTTTCCTCCAACTCTCTCTCTTTTTTTTAAATTAAATCTTTATTGTTCAGATTATTACAGTTGTTCCTCTTTTTTCCCCCCATAGCTCCCCTCCACCCGGTTCCCACCCCACCCTCTGCCCTTACCCTCCCCAATGTCCTCATCCATAGGTGTATGATTTTTTCCCAGTCTCTTCCCACACCCCCCACTACCTTCCCCCCAAGAATTGTCAGTCCACTCCCTTTCTATGCCCCTGATTCTATTATATTCACCAGTTTATT